GAAAAATCTCTATAAATTGTGTACATTAAAGAAATATGTGCCAAAGAGTGTTCAATAGCAGCCAAGTGGAATTAGGGAAACAGATGCTAGGAGGGAGAAGTCCTTAGTGATGATCCATTTCAGTGACTGTCTCTGCTCTGCACTGATAACACCTGGGTTACTTTCAGGATGGTAAGACTTCAAAGTGCTAACGTGAATGTCCAAAGGGAGCACAGTATACAGCATTTTCTGAGCATGTATTTTACTCTCTGCCTGACTCCATGAAACTATTTCTGGAAATAATTTAAGCAGCTCTTCTTTTAGTGTCTGAACTCTGCCTCACAGTGTCATCTGTCATGGCCCACTTGGGATCCCAAGTGAATTTAAAGCCCTTTCCAGACGAGGTCTCTTCAGCTATTTGAAAACAATGACTATGATCTCTTCAAGACTTTTCTGGACCAAACATTGTCACCTGAAAATATTTCTTATGTGGCAGGGCCACCATCTCCTTACTGTGACTTGCATTCCAGTTTTATGTACTTTCACTTAAAATTTTGCAGCCAGTATCAACATGATTCTCTTAGTTAAGGGGACAAAGAATAGAAAGGAACTATTTATTCCTGATGCACTGGGCATTGAATTATGTTTCTGTCCTCTAGTAAAAAAGCAGCAGTTGAGTTATGGACACCAGAGATTGATAAGGACATTGGATAAACCGTCAAATTCTGGTTATTGCATTTTTGTATGGAAATGTATTATGGTCCAAAGGAGAGTTTGTATTTAAATTTTTTTAAAAAATGTGTTACATTTCACCGCCTGCTGTGCAAGCGCAAGGATCCGAGTTCGAACCCCGGTACAAAAAAAAAGTGTTACAGATCATTTATATTTTATTATTTAAAATCTTTACAGCTCCTAAAGTAATTGTACAGTTAAATGGCCTTAGAGGTTCAATTCCATTCTGGGAATACACAGAGTTGGCATTTGCTTTTCAATATTCTCCTCAGTCTCTGTTTGGCTTTTCTCACCAAGAAGACAAATTTATTGGTGAGAAAACACAGAAAACACTGCCTTTTCTTTTTAATTACTATATATATGTGTGTGTGTGTGTGTGTGTGTGTGTGTGTGTGTATGTATATATTCATTCAAGTTCTGGTTAAAAGCTTGAGCAATGGGATGCTGTCAGAACAGGCCAGGAAAAACAACTAAAGGTAAAACAAGAGCACAGCAGAAAAGTCCTGGACTCAGTGTAAACAATATTTACTCATGTTACATGGTTCATCATGATGACAAGCAATGCTATAGTTATATCAATGCCCAGGCCCATTTGTAATTTAAGTTTATTCTTAGTGAAGGGTGTTTTTATACTGCATCTTACAGCATTTAAGCATGTGTACAGATGTAGCAGATACTGTTGGTGCCTTATCCAGATCTCAAGTAGCATGCTGGTGCTGGGAGTGTTGGCTGTTAATTCCTCACAGATGCCACCCCTTTTGGCCCCAGAGATCTGTTCTCAACAAAATGTGATCAATCTTGCTGGGATGCCACGCACTTCTTCCTAGGGACAGCTATGGCCAATGACTGGGTGGCAGGAATGTACAAAGCTGGTCCTTTTTCTTAAGGTGGTACTTAGTACTCTGTGGGATCAGTCTGAAGCTGACTCCAGTTAAGACCATATCCTAGCTTAGTGCTGTCCTTTATTCTTCCTATTTTTTTGATTCCTATTGTCCTAAGGACATTCCAAGCAATAAACTACTTTCACAAGAACCTCTGTTTTAGGCCTTGCTTCTAGGGACTCCTCCCTAAGATAACACTATATTATCTTTCCCAATGATTTCTAGTTGGAAACTTATGAAAATAAATGGTTCTTTGTGTAGTAGCTATATAACTTGAATTTTTAAACAATAAAATTCAATCATTTGGCTAATGATCTCTTTAGAAAATCTGATTCTATTTAATAAGCTGCGTCTTCTAAGTGGGCTCCAACTAAAAACATTTAGTTAATTTAAAAATAGTTTTAGAAATAAGCTATCTGGCAATAAAAAAAAAGAATAGAATCCTTGGGGAAAAAAAATCTCCTTAATTTATGAAGTAGACCATGCATAGAGTTTGTTCTATTAGTACCAGATGTTGAAGTCTTTGACATTTCAATGAGATGCAGATTGTTGCATAGATTCATTCAATGAACTCCTGAAAAGAGTCTTTGTAGACTGTTAATGCAATGTAAAGATAGAATGCCTAAATGGAATGCATTTAGGTAATGCACGGTGAAGACGAGTCTCCCCACCCCTCATTCTCATTGTCAAGGCTTAGCATTGAAAGTGTTGATCTTCTTGGTGAAGAAATATGTTCATATAATCAAGTATGAGAGTCAGTATAGTATTCTTCTCTTCTAAGATTTAATCTTAGATCTTTAATCTTTATTCAAAGGTGGGAACATTAAGCATTGAAACTAATAGGCATATATGGGTGCCTATTGTTTTCATGGTGCTATGAAAGGTTGATTTGGTTATTTTTGGCTTGCTTAGGTGCTCCATTCTTCCAAGAGAAGGGGTAATCAAAAGGGGTTGCAAGGTCTTAGAAATAAGATTAGATTAGCCAGAGGGCATAGCCTGTGTCTGCTTAACCCAAAGGGTTGGTAAACAGTTCAGTAGGGGAGGAGAAATTTTAGGTATCAAGTCTAAGGGCAAGGGTAAAGCTGGAAATAGGGAGCTAAGGAAATTACTGGTATATGGGCAGCAGATGAAGTTGGGGTTCTATTCTATTTTTATTGGTGTCAGTGGTTTTATGGTGAATGTTTGGCCTTTCTAGAAGTAAGACACATGCATCATCAAGATATAAATGGAGAGTCTTGTAAAACCAAATGTGAGTGTCCATTCCATCTTAGAAATCCTAGACAGTGAGAACAATCAGAGTCATTTTATTTTTTAAAGAAGTATTCATCAGCTGGAAAGTATAAAATTGAGATATGATTTTTTTTAGCCATCATTTTACAGCCTTTGGTTCTCCATTGAAAGGAATAAGAGTAATCTTAATATATGCTCTGAAATGTCATAAGGAGATAACAGCAGGTGGTCTTTCCCTAATGTCTAGAATATGACAATGACCTGATATGTGGAGACAGGAGGCTAGATTGGAAGTATGAAAAAGGAGAAGTAGGACAGATCAATTGTGCTCCATTTTTAAATAATTCAAAAGTTCTACTTACTGTTTGAAAAAGGTAGAACATTTATCAACCTCTACTTCATTTATAGTACTTTTCTCTCCTCATCTTTATCCAGTTTTTTTTCTTACTCCCTTTCTGTCTTGATGAAAATTACCTTTTTAAACCCCTTTTTATTTTCTTAGAAGGAGGCTTCTATTTGGTTTATTTGGTAAGTCCTTAAAAAAAAGCAGCATGACTTTTTGGCTACTTTTTTTTCTGTCTTTTCAAAATAGAAAGGCAGTTGCAATATAAATTTAATTCTGATAAGAGAAAATACAGGGAAGTTTCCTTTAGCACAGGGCTTTTAAAATATATCAAGAATAGAATCTTTCAAAATTGTTGTTATATTTGAGTTGTACCTAGAATCTTCTTTAGTAATGACTGTGACATTTCTCAGAGGTTAACTCATTTCCATTACTCATTTTTAAGAACACATATTCTGTTTGTCTTTTCATGTTCATTACAATGAGACTTAAAAATAGATCCTCATCATCACCTATTTAAGGGTTATAAATAGTGCTGCCTTGAAAAAGCCTGGTGGAAATTTATGTGGCGATTAAAGCAATGCATGAGATTGTGAAGCTAGGCATTCACAAAAATTAAATTGGAGGGTGGATTGTCTAAGTATTCTGAGCAGGGAACATGATGATACCACCAGCAAACCACCATGCTGACATTCAGATGCCAGGTATCCTTCTATATAAAGAAGTGAAGCAGGATAGTGGGAACTCCAAGACTTAGCAGAATCTACCAATCAGAAAAGGATCAGTAATCCAGAGATTATCTAAGTGGTAGATTGGATAACTGACCCATACTTCTCCTCTCCTACATCCATGGCCTTTTTCAGGTAGCATGTAATACCTATTCCTAGAGATAAAGTAGACATCTCCCTTTCTTGACTCTTGCTATGTAAAGTACTGAATTAATGGATTGCCAGTAGAGGTTGTAGTGTACCAATTCCAACCCCAGTCCCCAAGAGGCATTGTATGACATTTATCCTTTCCAGGAGGAGAACATGACATGTCTGGGCCACTGGTTCACAGAAAGCATAAGAGAAGTAATGGAGAAGATACAATGATTGAATGAGATTTGGATCAGCTGAACCACAGTTGATTGGAAGGTGTCCAAGTGAGAGTGAAAGATAGCTATTTTTTAAGCATTGGAGTTTTAGGCAAACTTATTGCCTAAGCAAAATACTTGACTGATACAAGCACTATTTCTAAATATATCTTGTTTGAAGGAAGAAAATGTATAATAGTGACTAGAAAATGAGAGTATGAATAGATAACCTTTTTGTGAAAAATGGGAATAGGACTTGTATTTATGATTGTAATAGGGATTGATATTGCTCCCCATTTACATATCACAACCTTCAGCTGAACCTTGGTAAAGAGTGAAGAGAACTGCAGAATTCTGTTCCATTGACCACACTAGAAATCACTGACATGCCCAATTTCAGTGATGATACAATGGTCTTTTTGGCAAACAACAAACAAAGGCTCATGTGCAATGACAGGTTGACCCAGGTGCACGAAGACCCAGTGTAAGATAACTCTAAAGGGCTTTGGAGCTTCCTAGGGGATTGGCGGAAGTCTTTGTTGTAACTATGTCACAACCTAACTTCTCCCTCTGTTCAGCTCTGCTTCTCTTACCTTTTCACAAGTATTGTTCCCCAAAGCACTCCTGAACAATCCTCCTGCATGGGAATCTCTGAGGCTCAGAGTCCATGTGTCTGGGGGTACCTGGACCTATGGTACACCACTGTTACTCAGCCTTCCAGGGTGCTGAACCTGGAAGAAGGGGTGGGAGAAGGCCTTACCCACTATCATGTGGTTGCAGACATCACAGAAAGTGGGCTTCTTGAAGATGTGCTCCTGAAGGGCATGTGCCTTGCCACTGTTGGGGTGCAGGCCAGCCCTGGTGGGTGTGGATGTCAAGCTTCCGGGTGCAGGCAGTGGGCTGGAACTGGGGCTGACTTCTGTCAGCATGTCTGCTGGCAGCTTCACGTCGCTGTTGGTTCGTTGAAAGAAGTTGTCAGCACTTTTGCTCCGTAAACTCTTGGTCTTGAAAGAAAGTGATCGTTTTAGTTTCTGGAGCTGCAATGCAATGACAGAACAGTCTCTCTTACGATGGATCATGCAGACTCATGCTGTGGGGGTGAGATCTGCTCCATGCACTGCATAGTTCCCAGTGACACCCTCAGCCTCCAAGGAAGCTCCTGTATATCTCTGTGTGGGTGGGGTGATGTCAGTGCCTAGTTAAGGTGAAATTCAGCAGCACCCCACAACTCCCCTATCCCCACCAAGCCAGAATAGCAGAGACACCACTTTGCCTTTGCTCCTCCGCCCCTGCATCCTTAAGGCTCCAACAGTGTGCAGTCAAAGCATCTTATAATGGGTTTTTGACACTGTTCATCTTTTGAATATGAGTAATTGGAAATGATGCATGCACTCATAGGTTCAAAGGCTGGGTGGGTAATGCTGACTTTTCTCTCTTATGACCACTTAGCAGCCACTTGTCTCTGCACACAGCAAAACAGAAGAGGCTACTGTCTGGTTTGACGTCAATCTAGCTAAATCATCCACAGGACAGAAACCAGAAACTCTCAAGTCTGCTTGAGTCTGATGCATATGAACAAAGTGTGTGTGTGTGTGTGTGTGTGTGTGTGTGTGTGTGTTGGACAGAGAATTTAAATACACATTTGCCTTTCTTTGCCTTTTATCTGGACCTCCTCGTTTTTGACCATGGCAGATGGAAGACTAGGACATTTCTCCTTTACCTTTGAGAATAATGAAGAGACACCAAAATGGGTTTGGAAAAGTATTAGCTTCCGAAGTCTAGTTTTGAATGATATCTGTACTTCTATCCAGTGTGATTGATGCTGGAGTGATCTCTCAGGAATACAGATGTGAGCATGTGAGTCTCTTGTTCAGAGCCCTTTAAGAAATTTCTTTTTTCATAGGTTTAAGGAAAAGCATCTCAGTATAGGCTCCAGGGAGTGGTAGATTCTGGACTCTGATGACATCTGGTTTGTTCTGTCCATCTCAACTACTGTGACCTTTTCAAAGTCTCTCATATTTACTATGTCTTTTCAACATCAGCATTTAATACTGAATTTTCCCTCTGTTCGGATGAAAGAAACAAACCACTTGCTGCAGGATTTTAAAAGATCACTTCACCTTCAAGATGGCTTTCTTTTATAACTGAATAGCCATAGATGTTCTTCCTATTGCTTGGAATTAACATCTGTGGTCTAAAGCTGCAGACGAAAAAGTGCTTGGTACTCTGTTCTAATAAGGGTCTCCACTAAATGTGCTTGGACTCCCTTACATAACACATAGGATGAGTCAATGTGGCCTTGCCAAGATCAGACACTTCCACCTCAATCCTCTAACTTCTACATCAAAAGATATGGAAGACGTGGTGGTCATTAGTGTTTGGAGTAGACCATAAAAAGACTACAATTCCCTTCCCTTCCTCTTACCCAGACCACTTTGCAAGGTGACTTTGCATCTACTCCCATCAAATGTGGAGCCTATTTTCCACTCCTTGATTCTTGTTGGTTTTGGAAATTTGATCAATAAAAAGAAATGAAAGCAACTTTATGTTAGTTCTAAATGAAAGCCTCAGTGTGCCTTGTATGCTTCAGTCCTCCCTTGGGAAACCTGCCAAATCACTACATATATAAGCCTAAGGTAGCCTTATGCATTATGTGGAACACAAGGTCTTGTCAAACCCCCATCACTTCAGGGAGATCCCAGCCTTAGCGCCACCTTGCCATCCTGAAGACTTAAGGCTAGCTGAGACCAGAAGAGCTGATCAGTTGAGTTCCACTCAAGTTGTCTATCCATGTGCTCATCAACTAAAGAGATGACTGGTGCTTTAATCCATTAAGTTTTACATCTATTTTGTGTACCCAGTAATAAATAACTGACAGCGCTGTTCTCCCCATCCTTCTGGTATTTCTTTCACAACTGAAGTTGGATATGACTGTATGAGGCCAACTCTTCCCTTCAGGGAGTCACACAGTGGGGAGCCCCTGCAGGGCCCTCTAGAAAAGTACCATCATGGCCAGCAAGGGGGCATCATCAGCCAGAAAGGAGTTGTCAGAGAAGCAGCAACAGCCTACACAGAGAGGCCAGAAACAGTGGCCCAGCTGGGACTGCTGTTTCTTTTTCTCTGTACTACAGCTCAAATATGTCAGAGGAGCTGCCAGGCAAGGAGAAAATCATGGCTCTGAGTTATTTTAGACTTGTTTTTTACTGTAGCATAACCTAGCTTATCCTGACTGACAGAGGGGAGTAAGAGCATGAGTTCTTGGGAGCATAGTGTTTATTTTGAAGAGGACCTTCCATCTCTGAAAAAGTTTAGTGAGAGGAGACTGTAAAACAATCATTCATTGAGATTGAGCCAATCCAAGGTGAGGACCTGGAAGCCGCAAAACAAATCCTCTTCACTTCAAGTCCTCCAGTTTACAAATTGAACCACTGCTAGAGGAAGGTAAGACTAGGGTTTTATGGTAGACAGTTTTTAAAAATACATTAAGTAAGCAGGATGTTCAAGATGCCAAGATTTTTCAAGGGATGTGTCACTCCGAGAGAAGGAAGCTTATTAAAGTAAATATTATTGCACAGAGAAATTGAATTCATTTTCTATTTGCTTCCAATTACATCCAAACAGTTCAGTAATCATCTACTCTTATCTCAAAAAAAACCAAAAACCAAACAACAACAGCAACAACAACAACAGACTAATGGCATCTTCCCTGATCATACTAGGCCACTGTTGTTAGGGTCACACAGGATAGATGAGAACTCTACATGCTATGAATGGATAAAAGATGGTGACAGGCAGAAGAGTACAGAGCTGGGCCAAGTGCTTCACCAGGGGATTTAACCTAATCCTCCCACCACTTCAAGGAAGATGCTATTTTGCCCTTGTAGTAATAGAGACTGAGGGAGGTTAAGTAACTTGCTTATGGTCACACAGCTTATGTAAATCAAGACCAGAGTTCAAGGTTAAATCTGCCTTTCTTTGATCTCCACAGTCCTTCCACTGCCCGTCAGTCTTTATGGGATTCATGGGAGGTGAAAGAGAGCTACCCTTCACTCTCAGGGAGATGAAAGCACTTCTGGTGATCAGTGAAGATGAGAAGGGATGCGGAATGGGAAAGTAAATCTACTTTTTGGTATCTGCTCTCTGAAAGTTTATGTATGGTATTTAAGTATGATGCCAGAAAACCTGTGGCATTTTCTCTGCCCTCTGGGATGTGGCTGGAAATTGTGTCAGGCTTCTGGTGCCTGCTTCTAAAGTCAGAGCATTTACTTGGAAACCAATGTGACATTTCTTATATAAGTGGACAGCTTGAAAGAAATGCTTAACCCTAAAATGTACCAATAAATTTAATGAGAAAAAAAGAAATGCTTAACTATAAAATAAAGTCTCGATGAGAGCTCAAAGGGACATTATTTCTCCAGCTATCCCTAAAAGAGCAGAGACCAGATAGGAACATATAAAATGAAAAAATAGAAATATACTCTAAAAATGGCAGATGTCACAAAAATGATTAGCTTCCATGAACCACTGCTATAGTCCAGGCTCATTTTATTCAAAATGGTGAAATTAACAGGTGTTCTTAAGTAGCTTACCATGTAATAGAAATCACTTCCTATACTTTACTTCTTAGCATTTTAGCAAATTTAAAGTAGAGGATTATTCTGTCTTCATTAAATAATTTACTCAGTAAATATCTACTGGGTACCACTATGAACAAGGCATAGCCCTTGATTTGGTGATTTAACAGTGAAAAGATAAAGTCTTTTTCCCCTTAAGATTTTAAGGTCTAGTGGGTAGTGGGTAAATATAGGAAAAGTGATATATAATATAAATTTGGGTGGGGGTAGGGTCTACAAAGGAAAATAACAGCAGAGTTAGGCCTTAGAAAGTGACAAGGAAGGCTTCTCTGACAGTTAACATTTGAGCAAAGATGTGAAGGAAATGGTGAGTGTGTGAGCCATGCTGAAGAAGTGCACTATAGGCTGTGGGAAAACCCAGAGCAAAGGCCCAGACAAGAGTGCAAGGTTTGTGTACTGAGAAACATCAGGAGGTCGGGGTCTCTAGAGAAGAATGATGAGGCAGAGAAAGGGCACAGGTGCCAAGAGCAGCTTCATGCTGTGGCTTATAGGTCACAGCCAGGGCTCTGGAATTTATCCTAAGGATAATGGTTTTGAGCAGGGATGTGACATGGTCTGACTTTGATTTTAAAAGGGTTGTTTAGAATCTGTGTGAAAAACAGGTGGTAGGAGAGCAAGACAGCAACAGGGACACCAGTTTGGAGACTAGTGCGGTAACCCTGATGAGAAGAAATTCTGGCTTGGTCTAGTTAGGGTGCAATGTGGCTGAATTTACAGTACTTTTGAAAGGCAGAATCATGGGTTTGCAAATAAAAACTCAAGTTTCCTTTCTCAAAGAGGGGGAAAAAATAATCATGGGTTTGATGAGGTAATGAATGTGGAGAATGAATAATTGCAAGTTTTTTCCCTTAGAACAACTGGGTGAATGAAGGTGCTATTCACTATTTAGGAGAAGAAAGAAGTTGGCATGGAGGGTGGAGTGGTTTGCAATGTTTATTTGGAATTCAGGTGGAACTATCAAGTCAGCACCTGGATGCATGATTCTAGGGCTCAGAGGAATGGTCCAAGCTGGAGAGATATGTGGGAATCATTAGCATATAGATGGTACCTACAGCCAGGAGTGTAAATGATACAACACATAGGCAGTGAAAGAAGATATTGTACAGAAGTGACCTGAGGACAGAGTCTTGGAATACTCCAACATTTAGAGGACAAGAAGATTAATGAAGTGGAGCAAAGGAACTTGAGGAGAGGACAATGAGGAAGAAGACCTATAGAAAGAGGTATTTTAGAGGCTAAGGGAAGAAAATGATTCAAAGAAGAGAGAATAGCAAATAGCATCAAATTAACCCTAATAATAATGTCAGATAATGTGAACTTTAAGGATTGATCATGGCATTTGGCAAAGGGAATATCTCTGGGGGACACTAACAGTAATAGAGTCAATGAAGTGCCGAGTATGA